TTTGTTGGGCTTTCTCTCAGGCTTTTTAGGTCGCTCTTGAGGCTTGTTTCCCTACCCCAGTCAAGGGCTAAGTATTCACTTTTTCTACACCTATCTTTCTTCTTGCCCTCTTAGCGCTGCTCTTTCTGTCTTTCTTTCCTTTCGTTTCTAAGGCTTTTTAGGTGTCTATTTAGGCCTCCCACACGAGCGCCACGAAGCGGCACCGTGTGTGTGCCACACCCTGTTTCTAAGGGTTTTCCATGTTCTCACCTTTTTCCACTGAAGCAGGGACTGAGCACTCCTTGGCAAACTCAGTGCAACGAAGCTATGCCTTGGAGTGGGAAGCACGGATTGATCACCCGTGTGTACCTGCGAGAACTCTTTCACAAGCTGTGACTCCATTTTTCCTTGTTTGTTTCCATGGTGGTTTTCATGAGACTTCCCACAAACCTACTCTTCCCCAGCAGCTGCGCCGCCGATCGTCTACTGATGTGCAGCGTTGTTCAGCAGAGCGAGGGAAACTATGTTCAACCTTTCAAGTGACCGGACCCAATCACCTTACCGTTCCACCGCCTTCCTTCCCATCGTGGCAACTGAGTCTAACTGAAAACCAGTGTCGAAGTGCAGTAGCTTACACCGGCTGACTTGTAAACGGCATGGTTGTATTGACCAACCGTCCAGTGTTCGGCGTTTTATTTTTCCCTGGTCGGATTCCTACAATTGGACATGAAACCACACCCCATGGGTCAACAACGCCACATGAAACGACGGACCAACCGGCACCCCCAACGGACGACCTGAGCCGCAGCCGCTCGCCGAGGTTTGTGGCTTGGCCTCATTGGATCTCAAAGAACTCTTCCCCTCCTGGCTCAGCTGGAGCCGTCCGTGCGTGGTTTTATGTGGGTGAACGTGTTGCTGCAAAAATGCTTTGCGGACACCATCATGTAAAGGGCGGAGATCACTTCCTATAGAGGAGTTGAGAAAGGACAAGTAGAGGAGGATCCACTCTTTTGGACGTTTCAATTAGATTGTTTTTTCCTCCGAAGGATTGGCGGTTCATGACTTGTGACTCAGGAGTCATAAGAGTTTGGCAGGTGTGAAGTGTCGCGAGATTGTGGTTTCAAATCAATTGTAAAGACCTTTAATATCTAATGGGAAGATCAGGCTAACGTTTCAGCCATCCTCGGATGGTCGGAATGTACCGGGCCTTTGGCCCGATATGGCTCGACATTGGCTGGGGAAGACCGGACCGGGCCAACCACCACTGGTTGCGCGTGAGGATGAACCCATGGTTAGAGCCGACGGCGTTGGCAGCCCAGGGGGTACATCGGTCGGCGAAAGAAGTGGTTTTGTTGCAGACACCATGGTTTTCTCGTTTTTCTCACGTCTGGTCTTACCGAGGCCATTGCTTCAAAGCAGCCAAAAATCGCACCTGTTTCGATGGAGTAATTTGTGTGGTTTGTGCTCCAATGCAGGGACATCCTAGATTCAACCTGTTCAAGGTGTACATGGTGTATGTTTTCAACATGCTAAAGAATTGAGACTGCATCGAGAGGAATGGAGATAGGAGTGGTGCAAGGGTGCAAGGTGCTACCCAAACTCCCAGCAGCTACATTAATCTGCCACGTTAGCACTTTATGTAATGCTTCATCATCGGCACATGTTTTATCGCGTAAGAGGCAAGAGGCTATGGCAATCGCTCAACCGTGGCTCAACTGTATGGTCTTGCAAAGAAGTTTGCAGCGTCATTCTCTTGCGACATAGACAGTGAAGGTGTGGAGATTCGCAATGAGGGACGGAATACCTTTTTGGATGAGAACACCCTTGGCCCAGGGAAGACCCCTGAACGTGAACCCCTGCGACAGCGACAATCAGGGATGTCAACCTAGCATGTTTTGGTGGGTCCAGGTGTTCTCACACACACACAAAGTTTATTTGCAGAAGGTGTGAAGAAATATTGTTTGTGCTGCTGAGTAGTTTCATTGCCTTTCACGTGCTACCGGCAACAGTTCTTTGTCATTGCAGAGGAAGAAGAACCTTTGTTGGCTCTTACGTGCCGCACATCATCTTCAAGTTGAAGATACACTCACTGGCCATGAACAGCTGCCGCTGTGAGGATCAGGATGTTGAACAATCCGTACAGCTGAGGCGGAGATGCCTTGTGAATTCCAACACCTTCCAACCACTGGACCAGACTTTTTCCCCCTTGGTGTGGGTGATCAAGTGTGACGTGGAAGCTGACCGATCAGCAGAATTGCTGATCACATTGGAAAAGCTGAACTTTTCGCGAGGAGCACGCCTGGTGGTCACTTGTTTTCCCGAACAGCCCTGGAGAAGAGAGTCTCAGCAGGACCAATCTCCAGAAGACACATACGTTTGGGGCACTTTGATGCCCCTCTACTTTAAGGTGGAAAGGTTGTTGTTTCAGATCAAGTCAAAGGTGTTGCCAGCTATTTACTGTCAATTGACCCTGGTTTGTTCGATGAGATTGGACACCCAGAGCCACAGAGCCCCAGTGAGTCGTTTCAAGTTGAAAGGAATCGCACTTGGGCATTATGTCCACCAGCCCTCCATCCAAAAACACTGGCACAGCGACAACGGCTTCATCCCATCAGTGAGGATCAAGTTCTTGTATGACTCTGCTGGACAAGGAACAGTCTGCTATATTATGTATAGCGTATGTACATATACACATATTTTTGTACATATATCAAAGCACCCACCGTGGTTGGCTGCTCCGGTTTGGTTGGTTGCGTATCAGCGCAACATGGTCACAGGCGGACATGTAGTTTATGGAATTGTTCAGGACTGGATTTCTGCAGCAAGACGAGAGTACCTTCTTGAACTATAGAGGTGTTTGTATATATCTATTTTTAAAAATGTGTTTTTTACTTTATGTACAAGTTCAGCTATATCTTAGACCTTTTGAACTTGCTCAACAGGCTGGAGATCTAGCAGCAAAGTTTGCATGTTGTTTAGCTGACGTCTTGCAAGCTTTAGTCTTGTGGTCGATGTCCCCAAGAATGGTCCCTCCTTGGATTGTCAGCTTCCCTTTCTGATAGGCCTCTTGCAAAGTTGGAAACGTTGGGCAGTCAGTTATTGCGCCTTTGTCTTTTTGTTGCCGGACTGCCCTGCTGCCAAGCAGAAAGCATACCTTGTAGGTATTTATTGCAGAATCAGGTACCCTAGGGCCTAGGGCGCCAAAACACCAATGGATTGTAGAAGGGGCCTTTGCACAAAAGAGTTCTGACACAGAGGGCTTGATATTTGCAAAGGTTGTCCCCATTTGGTGTGCTGAGGGTGGGTGTTTCAGATTGGTGCGGACCCTTTCTCGCCAGACTTCTTTTTTATGCTTGGGTGCTTTTGTGTTTTGTGCATGCAATGGATGGATGTATTGATTTTGTAACGCTGATGGAAGCTCAAATCATATATATATATTAACATAATATATATATATACGAGCATACTCACACGTTTAGACACGCTTAGAAGATCTTAGTAGACTTAATTGGATAATTCCACATGATGATGCGGAGCACACTATAATAAAACATAATGTGATTGAATGGGATTTCCAGTTGAAACTTGCGGTGTCAGTTTGAAAAATCCTGGATGAACTTGGGGGCCTTGATTATGTGGAGATGTAGGTTGGGGTGCCCCGGAGCTTATACTGCAAAGCTGCATGTACAGGAGTGTCATGGGGTCTTTGATTTTGCAACGAATTGGCTTTTCATTGCGATGGTTCGGTGATTGATTTTGTAGAGCTTGGGGGCTTGATGTTGTAATTTAAGAATCAGACACACCATGGGCCAACTTAGGACCATACGCACAAGTTAATCAAGATTCACTATTCGTGTGTATGATAATTTTGATATCAAAGAGGTCTCAAATGACCCGTTGAAAGCGTGTGGTAATTTTGGTGTGGGGAAACCCGAAGAAGAAGAACTATATAGATCCTGCACGCTCTCCATCTGGTCTGGTAATACAGCATTTGATGATCATCTGTGGCACACAATATCAATTCAAAATGTCAACTTCCAAATACCGATACCCAGAACATGAGCCGCCCATGCCTCAACTTTGTCGTGGCAAGAGCCGCTTTCCTTCATTCTACGACACAACCATCAAGGCAGGTACCGCAACACTCCAAGAGCGGGTACAAATGGGTACAAGATCCAGCTACCGCAGAACTTCACTACGGAATTGCCTCTTCCAGCCCCACTATTCACCTCACATCATCTCACTGGACCTCACTGACACAAGCAGGTATTGAATCGGGTATTGGAAAGACGAATCGCCGGCCTTTCTGGAGCATTACCAGTTTGACTGGATCACATTGAATGTACTGAGTGGAAGGGCTAAGACAGAAGCCCAAGTGCATCGATATGATCATATCTTGGCAAAGGTTTGCAGGAGAACTCGTTCCGTCGTCAAGATCCGGGTGCCAAACTCAAAGCAGTTTTGACACTGACAGTTCCGTCAGAGCTGTGTGAGTGGGGAGGCTTGCCCGCCAATGTTCAATCCAACTGCCAGCGTCGGTCAGGGCTTTGTCGCTCCTGAGCCTCTGCAAGTGCCACCCGATGCAGTGTGGCATCCGGAGAGCCAGGAGTATGAGGTCATGCAGGCAAATCAGCTGTTCACAGCAGGCCATGAAGGAGGCAAAGCTGACGCTCAGGCAGCAAAGCTGAAGTCTTCCAGATTCAAGTCCAGCAGCCCCAGCTGGCGCTTGTGCTGTGCTGGTTCCTGGCGGCCGCCTGCGGCCAGGCGGATTTTTAGGTTTGCACCAAGCGACAAGCTGGCAAACTGCTTTGATTGCTGAAAACAGTGCGTGATTTGTTGATTGGTTTCACTGATTTCATATATGTTGTTTGATTGTCATGAGATTGGAATGCAACCATGGCTGTAGGCCCATGCATGGCTGTAGGCCCATGAGCCCAGAGAAACAAAGCAACCAGCCCACACGAGCTTGGCTCATTGCTTCTTTCGCTGATTCTTTGGAATGACACGTCCTCGACCAAGGCCAGACCTTTGTGGGGCAGTGTCCCAAAGTGGGCTCAGGACCAAGCAGAGCAGAGGAACTATATACACGGGGTATCGGAGTGCTTATATACACGTTAGGTAAGCGGTGCAGCAAACGACTTTCAGTCAGTTTTAGTCATGAATCGTTGCTCTCCGGCCAACCGATTTTTGTGGCTTTTCAGTGACCCTTCAGGGCCAGTCATCACGACTTTCGGCCAAACCATACGATGTGGGCCCGGCTCGGCGCAGCTCTTTGCCTTTCTGCGACTCACGTTTCGCTACAAATCCCGAAACTGACCGAGCCGCAAGAGAGAGCCGGCATCTGCATTGGCGGTGCTCCCAGGCACTTCCAGAGCACAGCGAGTGCCATATCCAGCGGCTTCGAGCCCGGGTCCACGTCCAGGGCGACGTCCGCGACCGGCGACGTCCGCCAGGTGCGAACATCGGAGCTGTTAACGACATATTAGACGTCGTTCTTTCGGCCATCGCAAACAGGAAAGGAACAACAACTATATATACCAGGACCAGGACCTTCAAAGTGACCTCTTTGGAGTCTCTAAGTGGCCTTGTACAGACCTAAGTGACCTCATCCTGGGATATCAAAGGGTCACTTTGAAGGTCCTGGTATATATACATATTACATGATTGTTCTAAATCCATGTGGAGGTCACTATGTTTCGACCAATCGAGGCTTCATGACAGACCGCATGTTGGAAGCGCCAAGAGACAAAAAACGCCTCTACATCGGACTTACATCGGGTAGCAAGAAATGATGTTGTCCTCGTCCATGGTTCAACTTTTGTTCATCCATATTGTGACTACTGCGTAGGAAATGACATGACTGTTGACTATCCTTGCTTTTTGTCGTTGAGCTAATTACTGTTACTTCCAGTTTCTCCCCTGGCTTGGAAAAGACATGGTGTAATGGATGTGCATATGGATTGATCACAAAGGACATGTCAGCCGAAATCACAGATGGACCATGTCTACCCTTCCAATCACTTTTGTTCAGCTCGACTACATGGGTAAACATAAACGTTTCACCGGACAAATCCTGATTGAAAGTTTTGGTCTTGACATGGCGGTGGAACATCCTTTTCAACACAGCGCAGAGTTTTATTTGTGGCTTTAAAGCCACCTGAGCATGGATCAGGGCATGATCAGGACGGAGATGGCCCCAAGAAAATTGTGTTTCTGAACTATGCAGCTTACAAAAGCTGCATTTCCTGCCGCCCAAAGAACTTTTTGTTCGAAGGTCCCCACCATTGGCAGGCATGCTACGTGTTGGCACCCACCCAATTGTCCTTCCATTGGTCCCAGCTTTGAAATCACCAAGCCAAACCGAGGTCAGTGGAAGACTTGAAAGCTGAAGTGATTTTGGTGCGCAGAGCACTTTTGACATCTTTGACCATGTGGTTCCAGTGTTTGTGGATGATGGGAAGTCTGACTTGCAAGAAGATGTAGATAAATATGGACGTATTTGTTTGTCTTGTAGTCTTGTAGTGGCATTTTGTGGCGGCCTCGGCTTCCACAGATTTTGTGTTCCCGTTCTTAAAGAGTGCGAGTTTTGTTCAAGCATCGGTTCAGAGTTATTTGTTTATGTGTTTAGTTGTATAATTAATATACTAATTTATAATAAGAATTCAGACCCAAACAGTTTGCAAACATACGACACCGAGGTTCACCCCGCACCTTTTCACCCTGGTGCGGGTGAAGCCATCGTCCCACTGGGACTCCGGAACGCTTTCGGCTTCGTTTCAGATGGAAGCGGCGCACCTTCTACGCACACCTTTGTGGGAACAAATGATATCACTTGCAGTTCCTTTCGAAAGTTCCTGGATGTCACTTGATGGTCACCGTTGTTTTGGTGCGAAAATCGCCAAGGGTTTTGGTGCAAGCACTCTCGGGCTTGTCTTGGGGTCTAGAGCCGTGTTCTGATGTTGATTTGGTGTTCGCAACCGTCCTGAACCGTTTGTATGATTATTGTAGTGCGTGTATTTTCCTCTTTTGATGGAGATGACCCATGATGAAGGTTGCTCTGAACATGAGACCCACTGTAGCTTTTCTTGAGATTCCAAAACGACACAGAGTTGCCTGTGATTGTGTGCGGTGTGAATGGGGTACGGTAATGAAGTGCCACAGGAAGGGCTGTATGATCTGTATGTCAGGAACAAAAACGTTTGTGGTTTTGTTTTGACGCGAGCATCCCCAAGACCCGTGCTACGAGAAACAGATCGACTCCCTGTAAATTCCAATAACTGCTTGACCGTTGTGGCTGACTTCAAGTCCGGTCATCAAGACCTTGGCGGCATGTGAAGTGGCAAAGAGCATTCCCAAGGGATCTACATACCTTACTCATGCTTGGAGCCTCCAAGCTTATACATCAAATCCCCCCTCTCAGAGGGTAGGTGGATCCATAGGGCCCACTGGGCGGACGGTTCCAACCGTCCCCAGTGGGATCGAACCAAGGAGTGGTCCCACCCCCCAAGCGCCATCCCTAGCAGCGACAATGGGCGGATTGGCAGCCGCAAACAGCGGGTTGGGACATGCGGATGCTTTCTAGATTTGTAACGGGTGGTTCCAGAATATACCACCGTACCGTAACAAATACTTCAGACACCACCGAACCTGCGACCACTGGACATTGAGACAGCAGCTGTCTCCAAGAACAGCTGGGCGCCCACGAAAAACAGCTACATGTGCAGAGAGAATGCTGTACTTGAAGCGATTTTTGTTGCTTGGAACAACCCTAGGGCTCCAGTGGTACCTCCTCAGGTTCGGTATGACTGGACCCAACAATGGCACCCACCCCACACCCCAGTCCCACCTTTTTTGGTCAAGTACGCCAGGTACGCCCAAACGGGTCAAACAAACCAACTGGACCAGCTGGCCCGAAACGTCATCACCTCCCCACCGAGTTGGGTTCAGCACCGTTGACCGCCCAACGCAAACGGGCGACCCGACCGAACCGAACCGAACCGACCGACGTCGCCAGGCGGACGACCACGAGCCGTTCAGTCTGTCCGGACGGAAGGAATCACCCAACTCGCAGGCCGCCGGGGCGGCGCGGGGAACGCGCGGGGAGCGTGTCGCTGGTCGTGTGCATCTCGTCGTTCGACAAAGGGAAGCTGCAGATGGTTGAAGTTTCGATCCCCTTTCTCAGAATGGTATGTACCTCTCCCTGGAGTAGCAAATGGGAGATCAATTGGGCATTTTGTTGAGGGCCGTCCCTTGATGTTGGTGGTTGACTTGCGGAACGCGGCTTGCTACATCTACTGTCAGCGTCATTGAGACTTCGAAGAACATGGTAATCTCGTTGCCCAGGAAGTCCACCATTTGTTCAGCTCCTATAGTCAAAATTTCTAGGGTTCCAAAAACCTCCTAAGAATGTGGGACCGGGGTGGGTTTGCAGGGGGAGTTCCCTGGAGCCCTCCAGTGGATGGAGCTCGTCGTCCTCGGAACCCTCCGGTTCGCTTCCGGAAGCAGACCAGACACGACGTCGGACGCTTCCTGTCCTTACACACCAGCGTTCGGGTCGGTTCCAACACCTTGGTGCGAGGTTTAGGATTCGATGGGTTCGTTTGTTTAGGGTTCCAACTGGGTTAGTTTGGGTTTGGTTCCCACGGGTTCGTGCGGATGAGATGAGACGACCACTCCTGACGGCGCGTCGTTGTTTCTTCTCTCAAATGAGGAAAAAGTGAATGTACTTGTATTGTAGTGTCCGATCCCGATGGAGCTGGCGCCCATCAGCAACAGTAGCTTTTTGATCACTGTCTTGATCCTCTATGGATCTTTGGCTTGGCTACTTCGTTCTCCAAGCTTCCTCAAAGCCTTCGAAGATTGGCGTGCGGGAACCCTCTTCCCCGACCCCATCATCTCGGCTCGCGTGAAGTCCATCCGCTTGGCATCGATCCCCGATTGGGTGGCCATCTTCCTGCGCGTCGGCGAGAGCTACTTCGTGATCTCCTGCGTGCTGCGCTTTGTGGTGTATCCGGACGTGAAGCCGGGAGCATGGGTGAAACCTGCTTGCTTCGAGCCTTGGGCAGAGCTGGCTGTGAGTCATGGCAGGTGACCGACCGGTTGACCTACATGGAAGATCCACTTATGGTGTTGAGGCTCCAGGTGTTGACCCATCCCCAGCTGATTCAATTGGATTGATTTGTGTTGCGACTTTAACTTTGACTCCTCTTCTTCACACAAGCCTCAAGCCTCAAACATGTTTCTTGCACGAAAAGACATGTTGGCCCCGAAAAACACATGAGCACGCACAGACCGATACCTTCAAACCCACCGAGCCATTACTTGACAGATTACCTTTGATTATTTTGTTCTATAAGCCTGCGTTTTGAGAGGAACCAAGTTCATCCAAGTTCCATTATTCCCAGTCTCTCCGACGCCTTTCGTTCGCTTTCTGCGTGGAGGAACTCGCGATGTTGGGGGATTTGGAGACATGAAAAGAGACACGGGTTTTGTCTGCAATGCAACGTTTGGGGACACCGCGTGCGAGGGGCTGCGAACGCGCTTGGCAGCTTGGAAGCGCTAGCTTGCTGGTGCTTGGTTGGCTGAGTTGGCTGCTCACGACCGTCCGAGGACCTTCACCTCTGGGGTGTTCTGGTGCTTCTCCTTGGCCTGCGCTGGTCATGTCAACCGGACGCAAAGACATCTCTTTGGCAACGAAGAGCCTTGGCCGCTCGAAAACCCCAAACGGAACCCGCTGGATTCAACCGTTTTGGTCAACAGATGGGTCAGAAAGTCAAGTGACAGATGCTGGTGCACCCTGAATTATCTCCAAAAGCCTATACTATATATTTGTAGTCGAACCAGATCCCACAGATACGCCATTACAGATATTACAGACATCACTTCCCTGTCTCCTGAGTTTTAGCTTTGGATGGATTCTGAATTCCCCGATGTACTCTATTTTTGGACGAGCTGCCCAAGCTGTCATATCTCTATTATGCTCTATATATCCATTTCCATTCCCACCTTCCTACAAAAGCACTGGAGGATTGAAGTCAATTACCTGCTCAGCACTGCTTTCTCACAGACCGCTCGCTCAAACGCGTACCGTAAAAACCTCATACCTAATACGGCACCCCCGAACGGGTCCCGCGTTGAACACGAGTTCCGCTCTCCGCGCTGCAGCAGCCCGCAGCCGAAGACTGCAGGGTGCATCTCAGCCTTGTTCACGGCATCGGCCCTCCTCATCGAAGTGGATTTGCCCCCGCCCATCCGACCGTCCCATGGTGTGGGCTGCATCGCCACGGATTTCTTTGCCGGGGAGCCATGGTGCCTCGGCGGGCGAACATGAACGTTCGACACAGACGGGTGTTGGAAGCTCCTTATGTCCGTGCCACTCAAGTATACGCCGAGAAAGGGGAGCTTGGGTAGAATCTGTTGCTCATTCTCGAATGCAATTCTCCAAGACAAGCGATTGATCGAAGCTTTGCCTCAAGAGAGCCGGGTCGTAGAATAGGCCAGTCCAGTGGCCATTTCTCATGTTCATCCAGTTCACTCTCCAGTTCACTGACCCAGTCCTCCGAAGCCTCCGAATCATCGCTTCATACGGCTTTTTCAGAAGAAGGTGGTCAGTGGTAGTGGGAGAACCGATGTCGCGCCTTGATCCCGTCGGGTTCGAGCTGCCAGTCTCATCCTTATGGATTCCTCGACATGTGAAGCGATGCCACTGAAGTGTCAAAAATCCGACAGATCCATGTTCGGTTTTTAATGCACTTTTAAACATGGCTTGCGCTGTCTTCCCCAAGCGTTGGTCCAATCTCGGCCATCTGATCCGCTCGGCATGGATCGTAGGTTTGGTCTTGGCTTGCGTTTCTTCTTGATCCCGGTGACTGTGATGCTGAACTCCGGTTCACCTGGATGGCTCGACGAAGAAACTTCAGCAGGTTGGTCACCCAACTTGAATATGATTTTTCTCCTGATGAATGAGGTCATGGTATGTCGCTTGGTGAGAGTTTGTCGGCTGAACTGTTTGAATTGATTGATTTGTTTGAACTATGTGTAAAGTGGTAGAAACATTGGGCAAGGCCGGAATGTCTTCGTTGGTTTCAGATGGCTGAACAAAGGTGGATTTACGCTACTGATTCTGCAGAATTCTGAGATCCTCTTGGGCAAGCAACAGCAAAGTGCCATGGACTTGGAAAATCAAGTTCGCCAGAGGGAGATTGACACTTTGTTGCATTCAACATGTGTTTTGGCATACTCTGTCGGGATTAAAGCAATAAAAACATATTGCCACTATTTGCCACCATATATTATCCATATCAACAAACCCATGAAGTGAGTTGTTTTCTTTACTTTTGACATATTTGTGTGTATTTACCTTGCTTAGGGAATTTGTGTCGCGGGTTGCGAGATCCTGTGGGATGGCTCCTATGCGGCATGTCTATTCCGTTCGCAGTGGGATGGGCTCCATGGTCCCCGAGTCTTTGACTCATTGAACTCCAAAAATTGATCAAATACCCTGTTTTAGTGGGCTAACTTTGTGCCTCTACAAGTGGCTACTCGAACGTGACCCCCATGTCCGCTCGTTTACTCGTTTTCTCGAACATGTTGGTAAAATCTTCCGCAGCGTGGGTGGAGAATCCGCTTCATGTTCCATTGGTCCATGAGTGTAAACATGGACCTTGAAAACAAAAAAAAGAAAACGGACAGGTTGGCAAAACAAAGTCATGTTACTGATTCAAGGTGCTGAGTCCATGTTAGATGTTGGAAGGGTAAATTATGTACATCTATATACCAGGACCTTCAAAGTGACCCTTCGATATCCCAGGATGAGGTCACTTAGGTCTGTACAAGGTCACTTAAAGACTCCAAAGAGGTCACTTTGAAGGTCCTGGTAGTTTCGGGGGTAAAACTGGATCACTTGGGATCCACTCCGGCTGTTGATCCGGTCGCAAGCTGATATGCTAGAAAAGCCACCTGCTTCTGATGCTGGCAGACCTTCTTTGTGATCCTCTAATCTCTTCACAAGATGGATGTGGCTGAAACCCATGGCACATGGCGATAGAAAGTAGGCAATGTGTCCTTCTTTCCCAGGTTTTTACTGTACCTTATGTGCGCCATGGCCTGTTGGAGCTTTTGAGGACATGAAAGCCACTGAAGATGTCCTCTCAGCAGCCCGTCAGCTCCTCTCTGTGACATGTGACTGCTGTGAGCAGCTTACACCCAACTGGGCGACCTGGCAGAGTGTGAAGTTTCTGCGACCTGGGAGATGCATACTAGTAGCGATGGCCTCCACCCTAGTAGCGATGGCCTCCACCCTAGTTGCTTCTTGTCACTAGTAGTATTGGCCTCCAACCTACTAGCGATGGCCTCCATCTGATACCGTCCTTGCTACTAGTGTAAAGTACCGTACCCCTGTATCTACGGCCGCAAAAGGAGACTAAATGTAGGATTGCTACATATTTGTGGCAGCTACCCCTTTGGGGTGCTGGCTATATAGAGGTCCATCATCCACTGGTTTCTGGGTAGGAGCAACCGTTGGTACATACCATAGGTATCCATAGGTCACCTTTTCTATAAGTGAAAGAGCAACCGTTTGGGATACCAGCCACACCAAGTCTTGATGGCGTGCTATACTAGACTCAAGCATCCAACATCCAGGACCCAAGCATCCAACATCCATCACTCAAGCATCCAACCATCTCTTTTGGGCTACCCCAATCGTCACATGGGGCCAAGCACCCAGGGGGCAAAACCATGGACAGGTCCAGAGTTCTTTCCTGTAGAGCCCCCAGCGATTTTCGGGGTGGCGGGAGTGCCTCGGCTGGACTGAGCCCACAAACAACACTCCATGTATGAATCATTAAGTTTCTAGGGATCCAGTCGTACCTTCTCAGGTTCGGTGCGACTGGACCCGAGAATGGCACCTACATAGTGTCGAACACATCACCGTACTTCAGAGGGTATGTGGATCGATAGGGAAGGTGTATACACGTATTACTGATGCATTGACCCGCCAAAACCACCCTGGATGTGGGTACATACGCCTTGCATGGAGGAAAACCCAGTGATCCCACCGTCTTCCTTCGCGGTCGACACACTTGCTTTTTGTCGCAGTCCAGAGGTCACCGGAGGTCACTTACAAGCCCCAACAAGAGGTTTCTTGAAGCATCTTGAAGCCATTCTCAAAGATATATGATATATCATTTCTGCACCGATCCAATTCGCCATCCGCTACGAATCGCCGTCTGAAAGGTGCGGTTCAGTCGGGGGCCCCCCGTCCGCACTTTCGCTCAGCCCTCGAACTCGATGGCGAGTGGTCGGTCGAACCACTCCCCCGCCCGACCGCAGCGCGCGGTTTTTCATCGCCACGCCGCCCAAAGCCGTCCACCCGCCCGCGGTTTCCACCGCGGTTTCACCGCGGAAACCGTCCGCGGAAACCGCGGAAACCGCGGCAACGAGGAGATCGTGGGACCGTCCCAGCGGGCCTTGTGTTTACTGCAGATCCCTCGGCCCGAAGAAGACACCGAGCTCGAAGAGGCGTTCGTCCACGAGCGGAGCGGAGCGGGGCGGCGGAGTCCGCTGCGAGGACGGGGAGGGACAAAAGCAGGTCGAAGGGAAGGGATTTGGGTGGGGTGGGGGAGGTCTGAGGGTGTGCTTTCCGGAAGGCGAGAGCAGCAAGTAGTGTTGTGTTTTATGAAATACAGTACCAGGTTATAAAATAGTCAGAGACTTGTCAACCACTGCAATTGGTGCTTTTGCTGTAATGAACCATTTGGGATCAGTGGACACTCACCTATGACCCTATTAAATCCTTATAATTCAACAGTTCCTCAAAGTTCCATTCATCCCTCGAGTCCATCAAGCCGCCCCGTCCATATTTCACAGACTGGACAACCGGATAAGATCAAATAACTCTCCACATTCTGCACATTTCGCTCTGATCTTGTTGGAGTATAGGATGAGTAGTAGCACCCCTTGGAGGGGATGATATATGACGTTCTGTCCCAGGCTCCGCTGCAATTCCTGCAGTTCGTGTACGCTGAAGACCGGGAGTCTTGACCCAGTCCGAGAGCGCGGGTCGCGCGGGTGACCGTGTGGCGGGTCAAAGGGTTCAGTGACCGCTGTCGACGCACATCTGCGTATCGTGCTCTTTTTGGGTCGGACATCCCGATTCTCAGGGAGCGACTCTACAAGGATCCTTGTATTTGATGATATGTTTTTGTTGCTCATCATTGCCAGGTACCATATGATTACTGTATCATATTTGTATAATCATATTATTGTACCTCTGTAGAAGATGGTCCGGTGCAGCTGGATGTGTGGAGCAAACCCCGCAAAAAGACCGCCATCCCATTCGCCATTCCGGCTGGCCACGTCCCGCTCACGACACCGGGCCGGGTGACGGCTGAAATAACGGAAGGATATCGGATGACACATGACACATGGGTGTGTATATTAAATGGAGACCTCCCAGGCAACGACCCCATCATTGTTTTTGTATGTTTTTGTTGTGAAAGATCGTCAGACTTTGGGTCGAGACCTCTTAAAATAGACCCATGTCTTCAGGTCTTCGATCAGATCGATCTGGATCTGAGCTGGGAGGCTGGGACGAACGGAGCGTTCACCGCGCCAGGAGCGCTTCAAGCACTTCGCGGCCAATTCCGAGTCCCAGGCTCCGACCTCCATTCACCTCCGGATGCAGACCTACAAAGGAAGGCCGATTGAATGCCAGGAGTTCTTGTGAAAGACGCGTAGAGAATTCCTGGTCCTTTTGGATTGGCCTTTTTTGGGGGGGTGGGGGCCGGGCAATGGACTTTTTTTGGGGGGGTGTTTATTTGTCCTATTTGTATCATATTATAAATCATATATATATATATATAACTGGACGGGAAGGGACAGACAGTAAAGAACTGCAAGCAGCATGTGTGTTCTTTGTGGGATGGGTCGCGACAGGCAGGATTTGGAGCTCCAAATTTCTGTAAGTTCTGTAAGTTCAGGTACCAGAACAAGTAACTTGCGATCTTTACCATGTGCGATCGCCTCGACCTTTGATTTCGAGTCATGCATGTCCGTCCTGTGTGGTCGTTCGATTGTCATGCTTCAAAGCCAGCTGAGTGACAACTTTATGCAGGTTGACCATCCCGTACGTGGAGGTCGAAGCGCTTCTTCAGATCTTTGAACTCACATTGGACTGTTCTTCTTCCCTGACTGCCACGGACATGTTGTTGGGTTCAGAGGATTTGATTTGCTTCTACGATTCTGCAACCTGAATATACAGACACTCCCATACACTCCATGTATGGAATATATGCCGCCCCATTGACACCACCCAACTGATCGGCAGTCCTATGCCAGTCCCATGGAGTGTTTGGGACTGATACTTCATGAGACTTCGATACCTTTCACGATATCCTCTCACCGGATCCGATCCCGCTATGCGTTTCCGGACGCACGACGGCGTCGCCCGGAGCAAACGGACGGCTTCGTGCGGGACGGCTTCCGCGCCTAGGCCGTTTGAGGCACAAATCTTCCATGTGAATTTCCCGGGAGCGCTTCTCCAGCATCACCTGATAGGCGCGCGTTGTTTGTCAGAACTCGGGGTCCGAGAACCGAGCGGATCATGCATGTAGCCATGTGGGACTGGGCGAGTGGAGCGTTGGTCGAAGGCCCAGCAGCTATATGTGGTCAGATGCATCCCCAAAAGCACCGAGAAGGGTGGACTCTGCTTCCAACTACCCTTCCACTCACATGGAAGTGGGTGGTATGGCCGTGGTCTGGCGACTTTTCCTCTACAAATCAGGTCGGTCTCCACTTCCAATGTTAGCGAGACGGAGTGTACTCCTTTGCGGACACCAACGCTCCAAGAAGTTTAGCTGGGGCCAAAAATACTAGCGGGATGATTTTGTAGTATGTTTGGTGGGGATCACAACCATCCAGTACCCATGCAGACACTCCATGTATGGAATATATGCCTACATTGGCCCCTTTTCAACCACCCCAAAGTATGCAATATATATCATGCATGGATTGTTTGGGGTAAACATGAAGACTGTTAATTACTGTAACCATCCCCCAATTCAATCCAAAATGGTGGGCGCTTCATGAATCTGTTAGATACATTCAGGATCATTCAGGGGATGTTCCATTTTGGTGGCTCCCTTTAAAACTTTAGACTTCGTTGCTTGTGATTCGGGATCAGTGGCTGCACTCCTTATAGTCAGTGCTGTGTGTGCTCCATTGTGCTCCTGGTCCAGGCATTTGTAAGGCCAACGACTACATGAATGATGCTTGTTTTGCGTGACGGATGGAGGGATGATGTGGGGGAGGCCCATGAGACATCACATGCACCATCCTTGAGATGTGCTGATCCAAGGATCCAACGTTCTGTTGCTTGATGTTGACCATGTGTTGGAAGGAACCAATCAGCATCCAATCAGCTCTACTACACAGCAGCACTTGTGCGAACGAGATCGAGCAAGACCTCACAGCATGTGGTTCAGGGACCTCTTCTTTCGACCTGCACATGCCGCCTTTCGTTGCGAACCCCCTAAGACCGCCCGGACACTCCATGCATCTTTGCATCCCAAAACTGGGCTTCGACTCGTCTTCAGCGAGAGCCGAGTCGAAACTATTCGAAACTACCGGTCGACCGGGACTCGCTGGACTTAGGAAAGTGATTTCTTCAACCATGTTCAACCAACATGGAGCCATGCAGGTGAGCTGATTCCTTCAGTGAAACATCTCGCCGATGCTGCTGCAATCATAATCTGCTTCCTTTCATCGTTCATTTGCTTCGTTTTCCGGCCGTTTCCCCTTCCCTTCCACCGCTGAGGAGATGCTCAGCATCCCGGAAGAAACCGTGGTGCTGCCCCCACGGCGGGCTCCGGCAGCTCCCGGCGGGTTCGCGGCGGGCTCCGTCAGCAGCGGACGCAGCTCGAGTAGCGGACGCAGCGGGAGGAGTCGACGCAGCGGGAGGAGCCGATGTTGTCAAGGGAAGATCGATGTTGTCGAGGATCTGGGTTCACCCTGTCGGATGCATGTCAGATATTGGGAGCCTCCGCAGCACATTGAAACTACATGAAACTACAGGTGTTGTTTTCCAGATTGAGGAGTCTGAGTTTTGTTCTTCTGCTTCAACATATCAGACATCGGGACCTGTCGAAAACCCTGGTGCGCAGGAAAGAGATCGACACGCCTTTGGACCCACGCGATGTGGATCTGGCCCTGCACAACATCAACCAAGCGTCTTGGATGTTGGATTTTTGTGTTTGGAAGAGCATGCTGCTTTGGCCACGCAACAAGAAGTGCAGGGTCAAACTCGATTCCTTCCCGTACCCGTTCGTCCCGATCGTCCCGGTCGACCGGGACTCTTTCCGCGCGCGATCCCCACGGTGCGGCCCGGCTGTCCAGGTGTCGCTGGAGGTCGATCTGCAGACCAGTCAGGAGGGCTATGGACTTCGCTGCGTGGAGCTGGGCTTTGCCGATCCTCGGAAGGCCTTGAAGCTGCGAAGCTGGATCAGCTCGAAGGCCTTGAAGAGGGTCGAAGGCTTCCTTCAGGCGAGGAATTGATTGGGGGGGGTGCAGGAGTCCAGGAGGTGAGGACGGTGAGGATGGCACTCTCTTGAGAGTGGCACTCAAGAGAGTGGGGTCAAGTCTGGAATTGCTAGATTTGCAAAGTCTGCTGCTAAGGTGTTATGATTCAGAAGATGATGATCCTAAAGGTGTTTGAAAGTCTTGGGATCCTACTTTCACTGGTCGACTGTAACATATTGTAACATATGACAACATCATATGACAACATCATATGACAACATCAGGAACATTCACCACAGAAAAATGCAAAACAAAACCCCGGATGTTCATTCCATCGACTCCACTCCACACAGCACCGCTTTCGACTCCGGGCTTTCGAAGCACCGGTCCGGAACGCCAGTTCGGCCGTTGGGCTGTAGAACACATTAGAACTCGGTCCTGGTAGACATTGGTAGACCATTTGGATCCATTTAGTCATGTAACTGACAATTAATTTAGTGTATGTTTAATATATGTTAGATCATATCTTCCACACAAACCCCGAATTTGGCAAATCCAGAGGGAATCCGCATGTCTCATATCTTTTAGGCCCAAAGTGGGAAAACAAGACCTTCTTGAGCCCCACCACACAGCCCCTAGTGTCCGCCGGCTTTGCAGAGGCGCAGATGAATGCCTGGTATCACAATGAGAAGCCTTGTGAGGAGAATTGGGCAGAACATCGCGTTGAAACATAGATAATTAGGTCATCACAGTCTTCCAACTGACAAGATCTCAGTGAAACATGATGAAAAATGTCACCTATCACTATCATCCTATCTATCCGGCTGGTTCCGGGGGGATCAGGTGGTTTAGGCACCGATGTCGGTCGCGTGGCTATCACCCGTTCGCATCGGCGGGTTCGTCGATCCGAGGAGACGTGCGAAAAGGTGCGATTTCAGGTGCCAGGCATTGGTATCCACTTCACCGCACAGCAGACGCATGGTGAAGAAAATCGTTTGTTTGATGAAGAGAAGAACTTGCCATGAGAAGACGAAGTCGTCACATTTTATGTTGCGACTCTTTGGTCTTCTTTGTATGATATCGAGAATCTACAGCTGGGCTGGGGTTAGGTGTGTTTATCTTGCAGTTAGCGGGTGTCAGCCGCCAAGGATGTCAGTCGCCGAGATCGTGGGACCAACGGATGAGGACGATGAGCGGGACTTCATCATGCGATTGAACCTGAGTGGCTTCACATTTCACTAGTGCCACGAATTCTCGGAGTCAATCTCAGAGTTCATTGCCCCAGGTCCAAACAGTGCAAGCAAACGGTCCAGCCGAAGACTATTGAAGGAAACTCTGTTGAGTCATTGGTGGACGAAAAGCGGGGCCAATTTGTCGGCACTTCTCGTTCGACAGTGATTTGCACAGCGGCTGTGTGACATGTACAGCCATGTGAGTTACACCATCTTTAGGGCCAACGCTTTCGGAGGAAACAACCAACAACCAACAACCACAGGTCATTTCCCTGGGTCGCAGGGGCTTGGAGGAGGCCACAGATTTGTGGACCAATAACCGTGAATACCAGCGGCTGATGTTGCACTTCCAGGCTGATGATAGGCGACAAGATGTGCCCTCCGAGAAATGAGATCTAGTTAGATCTGTGCTGGTTGCAGGTGTTGCCATGTGTTGCCAAAGTGGCAGCGAGTGACTGACTGGCAACTCCTTGTCACCGGGACATGCCCTGAGGTTCTTCTTTATCAATTACCAGGACCCGACTCTACAGGTCACCAATTGAGACCTGTTAGGGTCCAACCCTTGGTACTTTTTCAGCGATTTCTGCAGCTGTCATCAACGCCTCCTGCCCTTTGAGACAGTGCTGGCTGAGTCTCCTCAAGTGGACCCAGACTGAAGGAGTGGAGGCTGCTGGAAAACCATCGTTCGTTTTGACGGTTTTCCTCGCCAGGATGCTATCACAGAATCTTGATGTGTTTGGCTCTTCTCATGGGTGTCTCCTTATATGTTTAAGTTTAATGGCATTGGAATTGGACCGTCTCTCATGTTGGACCTGTGTTTGTTTTGTTCGTTCTTTGCGACTTTCAGACCCCCAAAGGCAGGTCCTTTCTGTCATTTTGCCTTCATTTCTGTCAACAAAAAGGACTCATTCGCTCACCTAAGCACCAACTTCTTCACCCTCGCAGGCGGCCCGCGCCGCCCCGTGCCGTGGCGCCCACGCCGCGCCGCGCGGCGCGGCCCTAGAGGCTCTTTGGGCCGCGAACAGCGCGACCCGCGCGGCCCCGGCACGTGGGAAGACTCAATCGGGTTTTTGGGGTACAGTGGTTTCAGAGTAGATGGCACAGACTGACCTCGTGGCAAGCTGTCCTTTACATGGGGGTTCATAATATAAACCACCTCTTGGGGTGTGTGCCATCTACTCTCATCCACTATATGGCTTGCTGTGATGGTCCTTGCATGGTGACCATGGGACGTTGTGGACAGATTGCGAAGAGAGACTCAAGGCTTCTTGCATGGCTGTGCCATGTGGAAGGACATCGGACACCTGGTAGTCTTTAAAACATCCTACAATATGTGCACTTCTTAAAACACACACACGACTATACATATATATATGTATGTACACAACAAGACAATAATATGTTCGTAAGGTAGCAAATTACACAGAATAACATAATATGTTTGGTTTTCTTTTTTGCAGTGTCTTTATTCTCTCCGTTTATTGTCCATACAATCTGTTGCTGCTTTGTTCTTTCAGGACTCTATAGGGTAGATAGACAAAAAGCATAGAATTTCATGTATATAGTATGTGTGTGAGGTCTGTAAGCAGAAAGTCTAGAGATCTAGACGCATTGGGGTCCAGAGAGGTGATGGTGGTGATGAAGTGAAGGTGGTGAGTGAGAGTGAATGCGAGTGTGAGTGAGAGCGAGTGAGAGTCTGCGAGTGGGAGAGTGAGTGGGTGTGCGTGTGAGGAGTGTGAGTGGGAGTGGGAGAGTGAGTGAGTGTGTGAGGGAGTGCGAGTGTGAGTGAGAGTGAGTGTGAGTGGGAGTGAGTGTGGATGAGAATGAGTGTTTCTGAGTGAGAGTGTGATTGTGAGTGTGAATCCGGGTGTGAGTGAGAGTGTGAGAGTGTATCAGTGAGAGTGTATGAGTGAGAGTGAGTGAGAGTGCGAGAGTGAGTGAGAGTGAGTGTGGGTGGGTGAGTGTGCGTGAGAGTGTGAGTGCGAGGGTGAGTGAGGGCGAGTGAGAGTCTGCGAGTGGGAGGGTGATTGGTGTGAGTGTGAGGAGTGTGAGTGGGAGTGGGATTGAGAGTGAGTGTGAGTGAAAGTCTGAGCGCGACAGTGGGAGAGTGAGAGAGAGTGGGAGAGTGAGAGAGAGTGAGGATCTGAGAGCACAAAGTACTGCGCCTGCCACGAAATCTGCACTTCGAGGTTCACCAAGTGCTGTGCCTGCCACGAAATCTGCACTTCGAGGTTCACAAAGTGATGTGCCTGCCACGAAATCTGCACATAGAGGTTCACAAAGTAGTGCGCATGCCCCGAAATCTGCACTTCGAGGTTCACCAAGTGCTGCGCCTGCCACGAGCTCTGCACTTCGAGGTTCACCAAAAGTGCTGTGCCAGCCACGAAATCTGCACTTCGAGGTTCACCAAGCTGCCACGAAGTCTGCACTAAGTGCTGTACCTGCCACGAAATCTGCACTTCGAGGTTCACCAAGTGCTGCACCTGCCACGAAATCTGCATATCGAGGATCACAGAGTGCCGCGCCTGCCACGAAATCTGCAAACGAGCCACATGTCCAAAATTCACAATTCACTGCACCTGTCACGAAATCTGAGCCCAAAGTGCTGCATGCCACGAAAACTGCACTTCGAAGTAAAACAGCTCCGATCCCTTGCACCTGTCACGAAAAGTCGACTTTGAAGCACCAAAACACGAGGTTTCCCATGCGGTTGCCACGAAAAGTGACCACCATGTCCGAAAATGCGCACGGAATAGCAGCGAATTAGCCGCTCACGCCCGCGCGGAACAGCGATCTAAGCACACCTGCTTTTCCATTACCGTAAGAACCCCTAGTGTGTCCACACTGTTTGGGGAAAGACATCATCAATAAGAACGTAAAACAATAGAATGATCCAACGAAAGGCAAGACCATTGATAGTATATTTTTTTCGTTGGAGTTGGTTGGATCACGGGTCACATGTTGTTTTAATCTTTTAGGCTAATGGGGGTTTACCCTTCATGCATTGTCTTGCATGATGGATTCATCCGAACCCCATAAGGATAAGAAATATATATATATATGGTTCAAGTAGCATATAGGATATTATAGGTGTAATATTGGATTATCAGATACATCAAAATTATCCACATAATCTCTTCTATTCCTACAGTAGCACAAATCAGGGATGAAACAAAAATGGTACGTTAAAATCATGAAATGCGTTAAAATCATGAAATGCGTCGACATCCGGCCTTCTTATTGTTTTTTGGTATACATATAAATATATATATATACATACAAGTCTATGTTTGTTCTATATGGTTTCTTCCTTGTCCTGCTCTATTAAGATATAAATCGATGAATGTATCAAGAACCTTGCAATTACTTACCAATCAATGTCATCCTAATTTAGTAATTGAGCTCTTGCAATGTACCGTATTCTATTTATTAAATAGGCTTATGCAAAATAGAAAAGGGTAAGATAATACCGTTTATGGATTATACAATAATGAACGTATCCACGTTAATAATAATGTTCGTTACCCCTTTTCATTAGTATCCACGTCTTTGACTTTTTGTAATCCTTTTCCCCCTTGTGCACTGCAGCTGAAGATGACAATTCAATCAACAAATTAAACAAAATGGTGAAATTAAGTTTGGAAGGAAGAAACTAGTAGAAAGTCCTAGTATTTTCTTCGAAATCCTAGGATTTTCCTGGAACCAAGAACCAAGAACCAAGATTGATCAGAACAAATGGAGAATCACGTGCCGCTACGAGCATGCTGGAGGCCATTCAGGAGCTGCCGAACGGCTTACGTGCGAGACCTCAGCGCACCGCCCGGCCGAAGAAGGGACGAAGCCGAAGACCTCAGGCTTGTTTAGTACGGCCAGGAACCCCTAGTAGTTTCTTGTTACTAGTAGCGATGCCAGGAGCCCCTAGTAGCATCCTTGCTCCTAGGGCCTAGGGTGTTTCTGTTCCCCAAACAGCATTGGAAAGTGAGGGGATCTCAAGTCTTGCAGAGAAACGATCCTGAACCAAGATTATTTCTGGCCTTTTGAAACCTTTTGTCTCCTTTGTTTTCACATGGCTCTTCTGGATGCTGACTGAGATGGTGTTGTTTTGTTTGCCTTTATTCACCAATTATGTTGTGTTTGTTATGGTGGGCTGAGTTGATCCTGCTTTCTCTCTTTGTTGTTTCCCTTTGCCTTTCACGGCCATTCTGGATGAAATGATTCTGTTTTGTCTCCCTTTGTCTCCCATGGCTCTTCTTGGGTGATGGGCTGTGATGATGCTGCTTTGTTTTCCTTCGTGTCATGGCTCAAGCTAGCAGCCACATCTTTCAGGGTTCGCTGGGAAGAGAACATCAAGCTGCTGCTGCTGCTGCTGCTGGTGTTTTTTGGAGCAAGAGTGGTCATGTTCGCTTTTAGGGTACTGTTTCGTCCGCATTTCTTCACAGCATTCGGATGACAAAACAACGGAGTAGTTGTACATCCACGACGTACGATTTGCGTGATGTTTTTGACGCCGCTCTTACACGTATTGCACCAGCTGTCAGCTGACCTCTATCATCAACATTACTGACATTGGCTGTGGTGGAGTCTTCCACCAACCTGGTGATTCAGAAAACCATGGAAACATGTGTGCTTTACTACTAGGACAGTTTGCAGAGGAGACACCAGGGTGAGACACACTTTGCGGGATGGTACCCCCACCTGCGCTTCTAGAGCTTGGGTACTGATGGCCCACCTTTTTTTTAGAGGCAGCACACGTTGGAGGTTCAGGTTCTTCCTGAAGAATCATGTGTACTGTTACAGGCTAGGGCCGCAGGTAGACTCTTGATTCACAACCCCCCTTGCCTATACAGGGGGTTTTAGGGGGGTTGATTAATCAAGAGTCTACATTAGGGAGGTGTTGAAGTTCCAGGCGCGACGTCAGTACCGGGCTGCACAGCACCCTGTTCAGATTCTCTCAAGGGCAGAAACTGCTGAGTCTTCGATTGATCCTCATTGCTGATCCAATGCTAGAGATGGATCTTGGAACTTTTGCCCATCCATTCTGCGACGCATTTGGGTTCAATCATGTTCCATTCTTTTGTGCCTGGTGACAGCCTTAACTTTTGTTACGCAGGATCAAGCATGTTCGATGAGCTGGTTCTACCGGAGCTTCAGGCGGCGGCCTGATGGGAAAGGGACCGGGTAAGTCTGATGTTGGCCATGCTCTGAGATGGCAAAAAGTGCACCAATACATACTAATACAAAAACCCACATTGATTACAGTGTTCCGCAGACCACATCATGTGCCGAGGCAGCAAAAACGGGGTGAATTCCTCTCATCAAGAACCGCCACAACTTGATCACACTAATTCCACTCCCCATAGATGTTGGTTTGGCTGCAAAACACAGATTTCTCCATATGTCTCCCAAAGGGCTCTTGTCTTTTTTTCCTTTGACAAAATCAAAAAGAATTGATGTGTCTTTTGCAAAGAAGCTGCCTTTTCCGAATCCTGTTGTTGAATTGATGGTGTTTCATGGGTTTTTCTCCATTCCATAAAGACTCAAGATCTGAAATCGACCTGCCTTTGTTGGCACAGGCTGGCTTGCCACCTTTGCCGGACTGCCACCTTGACGGGTCCGGGTCTTCGTCGAGAGACACCGGACCCAATGGAAGAAGGACCCAGTTCATAGGAAGGTTTGGATCTTGTAGCCCGGGGAAGCATGGAGATCAGGACCCGAGCATGGAGAGTCTGCAAGGAGCAGGACCCAGGGTTCATAGGAAGGACCCACGGAGCATGGAGATCAGGTTGAAGATGGGTGCAGCTTTCGCGGACTACTGCGAGGGCTGGGGCATTGGCAAAGTCTGCAAGGGATCCTAGAAGTCAAGTTTTCGAGAGAGTCGCCACGGCTGCGGACGGCAGTCCGGGCGAAGCGAAAGTGGGGGAGACTGGGGCAGAGAAAGCAGGTGAATTTGTGTGATTCAGACAAATGAGATTCAGACTATGTTGGTCCGGTATGATTGCAAATAGTAGAATATAGTTGGCTCCAGGCAAGACCGCCAAGGCTAAGGGTTTATTCTGGCCGCGTGTTCTCATACACAGTACAGGTCAGTATCACAAACATCAAAGGTCCCATGCTTGTGGCAGGTCTAGGACGGTTTCCATGTTCACAACCCAATGATCTATAAACATTCATAATTCAATATAATTCATTGATTCCTGTGTAACAAAAACTGACCGCCCACATGATTGCAGCTTTTCTCGAAGGCAAAGCTTTGTACTCATAGGTTGGCCCGGCCAGAAGTGAAACTGGTTTGGCCCGGCCAGCCGAACATCCATGCCAAAGATCCATGAGACTTTACTGATGTCAACACATATTTATGTCAAAACACTACCCAATGCCAAGCATATAGACCAGACACGCAAGACATACAGATTTAAGACATTTGTCCGACTCTTGACCAATGCGTAGCTTTGGAGACCGCAAAATCAAACCGATGAAATTCCATCAATGGACGGAATAGACCCATCATAGACATCGATGTAGTATACGGAGAATGGCAAACAACTCCTTTGCCAATGTTTGCCGCTCTTGTTGCATCGGTTGTCTCGTCCTCTCCGCGGCCGGCATCGCCGCGGAGCGGTCGGTCCTTTCGGAGGTGATCTCAACCTTGATGAAGAAGCACGATGGTCAGTTGTGGTCAAACTGATAAATCACTATTTAATATAATTAATATGTAATATTCCCCTGAACAAAAAAAATGAAAAACATGGAAAGACTCTTTGTAGCTTCCCTCCTGTTCTTGTGACGACCATCTTGGTGTAATTTAAAGGCTTACGCCTAACAGCCGGGCGCCGGCCACTTGGGTCTGTGGGGAGCATGTCGCGCCTATGTTGGCCTTGGTGGGGCCTATATTGAGCAAAGTTAAGCTATCTGGTGCGCATCTTGGCCCTAGGTTGGGCCAAGTTGGGCCCATGTGGCCTATGTTGGGCACATCTTGGGCCCATGTTGAGCCTATGTTGGGCCTATGTCGGCCTATGTTAGGCCTATGTTGGCCTATGTTGGCCTAGGTTGGGCCTATGTTGGGCCTATGTTGAGCCATCTTGGAGGCTATGTTGGGCATATGTTGGGGATATGATGGCTATCTTGGGCCTATGTTGGGGATATGTTAGGAAATGTAAATCGTCTGGAGGGCCTCTACCCACAAAATGTCGATTAAGCCTGTCCGCCCGGCCCGCATTACCGACACCGCCCTTGAAAAACACAGCATTTTTGCATTTTTCCCTTTTCCCCGCGTCGTACTTCGATATGCGCAATAAACCCTGTAAAACAGAGTGCTTTTTATACCTCACACACACGATGCACTGTAAATTACATTGATATCAGTGACCCGGTGGTCCCCCCGTTTTGGGACCGAGGGTCGGCGGCAGGGGGCGCGCCCGTATATAACCTTCGGTTACCACCGAAGGCCCTCCGGGCAGGGCACGGGCTTCGTGGCCGGCGCCCGGATTTATGAGGCTTACGCCTGACAGCCGGGCGCCGGCCTATTTGGGTTTGGGTATGTGCAGGGCTGGGTCCTCTCTCTCTCTCTTTCTCTTTCTCTTTCTCTCTCTCTCTCTCTCTCTCTCTTTGAGACTTGGTGGGGCCTATATTGAGCAAAGTTAAGCTATCTGGCGCGCATCTAGGTCCTAGGTTGGGCCAAGTTGAGCCCATGTGGTCTATGTTGGGCGCATCTTGGGCCCAAGTTGAGCCTATGTTGGGATTAGGTCGGCCTATGTTAGACCTATGTCGGCCAAGGTTGGGCCTATGTTGGCGTATGTTGGCCCCATGTTGGCCTATGTTGGCCCTATGTTGAGCCATCTTGGAGGCTATGTTGGGCATATGTTGGCTATCTTGGGCCTATGTTGGGGATATGTTAGGCAACTTATGTGCCCAACACCCACGAAATGTCGATTAAGCCTGTCCGCGCGGCACGCATAACCGACACCACGGGCACCCTGCCGTGGACGCCGAAGGCCACGAAACACTGTAAAAAACGATGTTTTTGAACATTTTTCGAACATCCAGCGCAAGATACATATACATTACATATACATTTGTCGGGCGGATTCGGGCGGGGGTCGACCGGGGGGGGTCGGCGGCAGGGGCGGCGAGCGTATATAACCTTCGGTTACCAACCGAAGGCCTCCGGCAAGGGAACGTGCGCGTGGCCGGCGCCCGGATTTAAAGGCTTACGCCTGACAGCCGGGCGCCGGCGCACCTGGGTAAGAGAGTTCTGGGTCGAGGCGGTTGGTGTCGCTCGCGGTGTTTGCGGGGCGTGGTTTCGGTGAGGGACCCGCCACGTTTCCATGGAGTCTTCCACGGAGAAGACGGGGGCCGGGGTTTGGGGCACCCCGGCAGCACCCGTCCGAGGGACGGGGGCTGACTGCCCTGGTTGCTTGCAGCAACCAAAAGTCGGGAGAGCCGTCGGAGAGAGAGGAGGCACATGGAGCGCGATGCACGCTGGGAGGCGGCAGCTGTCAGCTGGCAACAAGTGCGTCGCTCACGCCAGCCAGCCACAGCCCTGGTGAGGACAGGCAGACGTCGTTCCAGCCTCAAGGACATTGTCTGCAAGTTGATGCGCCAGCGAGGCCGGCGGGGGTGGAGAGGTTGGGGGTTGAGGCGTCGACGCCGCAAGTCGGAGACGCAGGGTGGCAAAGGACTTAGACAGCATGCCACAGAGAGTAGTTAGCAAGAAACAGTCGACACCGGAAAGGGGACAAACAGTCGACACCGGAAAGAGGGGAAAGATACAGAGACTGGCGAGACGTGGGCTCAACGACAGGCGAGCCTGTGAACAGAGCAAGAGCATGTGCAAGCGAGAAACAGCCTCCAACCCAAAGACACCAGAAGCAACCAGCGCTGAACTCCCAGAGCGATAGGATAGCCAAGAGTAGAGTGCAAGAGAAGCTAGGAGACGGCCAGGGTTGGAGAGCAACAGCAACCAAGCACACCTGACCTTTTTTATCCCCGTTGAAATGTCCTCTACAAAAAGGGAGAGCTGGAGGCCCTTGCAAAGGGGCTATTTTGTAACGAGGCAGTTTTTGGCACCTATCGAAGACCATTTTTGTAAAGAAATCACCTTGCTGTATGGATGGCTATGCACCTGTAAGCATAAGATAGCAATCTTGAGGCAGCATCATTTTGTAGTACATGCCATTTTGTAGAGGGCAAACCAGCTTGGGTCAGTACTTTTTGTAGACCCCAAACTTGGTCCCGTTACAAACGGTTCGCCCCAACCTCTCCCCCTTTGTTTTAATGGGGATGCTTTTTTTTTGGCACTGTGTGTTCGGTTTCAGCGGGGGGGCGTGTGAGTAGGGCAGGAGCACGTGCAAAGCAGAGCAACAAAGCTCTCACGCCATGACACCAGAAGCAACCTAGCACACCCGATTTTTTTTTTGTGTCGCTGCTCTGGGTCGGCTGCAGCCATGGAGACCGGCGGCGCCGCGGTGCGCGCAGCTGACATACCAAGAGCGTCGCTCACGGTGGTGTTGGTGGATTCGACGGGCTACGGTTGGTTGCCCGGGCAAAAGTTGGGAGACGCTGCGATGGATTTTCGCAAGTGTGGGGGCGTTGAGACGGTTGCGAGCATTGTTAGTGGGGGCAGCATTGTGAAGGCTGGCAAGAAGGATGGCACGAACATCCTCGACCAGTTCATGCAATGGGTCTTGGACGGCGGGGAAGAGACCCATGGAGGGGACGTGGAGGTGGAAGTGGGCGTGGTGCCAGCCCGCGACTCCGTGCAAGGGGCACGGTATGAGGCCCTCGGGGTCGCGCGGCTGGCATGTGGTGTCCCTGAGTTGAGCAAGAGCATCTTGGAGATAGTCCCTGATGCCTATGGAGGGGCCAAAAAGGCCTTGCACTTTCTGCCTGCCTGCGCGTCGGAGAGCATGGAGCGGGTAGTGGAGGCGGCGCGAGCCGAGCTGGAAGTGCGTCGAGCAGAGCGTCGCTCAGCCGGCGCTGAGGGAGCCCCCGCGTCAGAGCGTCGCTCAACCGGGGGCAGCGGGGCTTGGGTCGCCGTGGTGATCTGTGCCGGGTGGAACTGCAACGAGGTGGAGAATTTGCAGGAGGCATTTGTCGTGAAGCAGCTCTGCGAGACGCAGACGTGGAGCGAGTTCCTTTGGGCCTGCTCGGCGCACTCTAGCAAGAAGCGGGCATGGGCCAAGACGGCGCAGGCCTTGGACTTGGCGCCGCCGAAGTTGTTCCAGACGAACCGGGAGGACCACCCACAAGCTGCAGCCAATAAGGCACAGTTCGCCCAAGGGTTGGAAAGACATTTTGTGGGAGACGCAGAGTGCGTCGAAGACATCAAGAGCCTGGGCGGGTCCGCGCTCCTCGCGCGCTATGAGAGCTTTCAGCAACCTGCCCATAGGGCGGACCTGGGGCGGTATATTCGCTTGTGGAAAGAGGGTGGAAGTTACTTGGACATCAAGATGGCGTTGCTGCAGCCGTGGAGCACAACCCTGCAAGAGATTTATGCGGAGGGAGAGAGATGCTTGGAGGGACAGCGCGTCGCGCAGTCCTCGGGCCAGCGCGTCGCGCCGCCCACGGAGGTGCGAGATTTGTCACAAGTCCCGCACCTCCTCCTCAGCATCGGACAAAACCGCAAACATATCTTCCAGGTTAACATTTGGCACGCGTCCGCGAAGCATCCGCTCTTAGCCAGAGCGGTGGGACATGCGTTGGGCACGTCGCAGAGTCACCTGAAGCGATACCTGTTGTTCTGCGAGTTTTTGTGGGCAGAGCTGCGGCGCGACCTCGGCAAGGACCCAGTGCAAGGGTGGAATTTCTGCCCCACCCTTGGCCCCATCTACCTTTTCCAGGAGCAGATGGATGGGCAGGGGAAAGCCGAGCGCGACCGACGTGGGCGCACATGCTTGGGGGAGGAATTTCCCGTGGATGGTCACTTCATGTTCACCACTGGTGGCACGAGGTATGCCGCCACCCGGGCGTGGGGCTGGAAGAAAGGTTTCCTACCGGTCGCTCTGGGAGCCATCGCGACACAGCGGGCAGAAGCGCAGAGCGTAGCTCAGCCGGAGCCACAGCCTGGCACTCCTGCCCCCGAAGCGCCGAGTGCGCCGCCCCCGGAAGCGCCGAGCAGCAGCGCTGCGCAGCAGCGCGTCGCGCAGTTGCAGGAGACACCGAGCGCGGCGACCCAACCGGCGGCAAACCAGGTGGAGGTGCCGCCACTGGAGACGACTATCACTCCGGAAGGCTTGGAGCGGATAATGGCAGTGGCAACAGGGCAAAGTTGGTACGAGGGCCTGACTCGGGCAGAGGTGGAGATCTTCACGGTGCAAGGTCTGAGAGAAGCGACCCGGCGGGAGGGCTATCTCTCGTGCTTGTTCTGCAAAAGCAGAAAGAGGCAACAACTTTTTTCCAGGGCACCAACGAAGTCCGAAACCACTTCGAGGGTAACCACGAGAGGCCAGAGGCAACAGAAGCGGTCTCGTCGGCGGTGGCCCAGGAGATCGGCCAGGCTATGGCTGTGGTGGAGCAGACGATGGACAAGGCGGGAGGGAGAGAACTAGGACAGCGAGCCGAAAGGGGGGAAAAGATTAAAACTTGGAAGGATGTTTTTTATTTTAAAATAGAAGGTGTATATTTCTTAAAGGTGTGTGTGTGGACGGGGGGGGGGGCGCGCCCGCCGTCGCGACAGTGAGGTGGGCGTCTGGGCAGAGCAGGATGTGCGAGATCGCGTGGTTGCAGCGGCAGCGGTGCTCCCCGCGGCACCCCCCGAGCCAACGCTGTTGGACGCAGCTTTGTGCGCCACCGGCGAAATCGCTGACTTCTTCCGCCGGCTGACGGGCATCTTGGGACCGTCCATCGCGGGCAACCGGCCAATGTTGGCGACGGCGCTGAAGGACGCCTATGTGCTGCCCAGCGTGCTGCAGAACGTCGTTCGGCAGCGTTCGGCGCAGGGCGCCACGTGGAACGACCTCACACGGTCAGAGAACGTGGAGTGGGCCGTGCCGTACGCGCTGGCTATGTGCAAAGGAGGTTCCTATGAGTACGTGGACAGGGCGAGCTTGTACAGCACCATTTTGGTGCGCTTGGTGGTGGACGCGGTCGAGGAGACCGCCAACAGCTTGGACGCCGCAGGGCGGCAGGCCGTGCTTGAGTGCGTCTGCGTGCACTTCAATGAGGCCGCCAGGCAGCAGGGTCAGCCGTCGAGGCTTCTAATCGCACTGGGTGGCGCCCGAGCCCTGAAGTTCGACTTGGATCCCACCAACATCGAGCGCCAGTACGGAGGAGCGAAGAAAAGAGTGACCAAGCGGCAGGCCGAATCCGGCGTGGCAGTCGGTCGCTCCAACCGAGTGTTGCAGAGGTTGGAGTGAAGAGCCAAGCCGCAGAACGTCGTTCAGTGGCCAGCGGTCGCTCCGAGGGAGTGCGACCGAGAGGAGCCGTATAGAGCGTCGCTCAATGGCTTCGTCTAGCTGGCCCACGTGCCGTTGGAGACGCCCACGAGCCGCAGAGCGTCGCTCAGCTGCCCTTTGCGGCTCCGGCAGAGTAGCTGCGCCTATCCCCTCGGAATGCTGCGGCGCTCGTGGCATCCAGAGAAAAGAAAAGGAGAGACACAGTGTGTTTGTAGGCAAGCAAGTTAGAGCGGGGCTAGTCGAACCGGGACCCAAAAGGACCCTAGTCAGAGCACGCGGGATGGAGGACAGCTGTTTGTGTCCGCGACGCGTCCGCCGTGTTGCGCGCGAGCGCGAGCAGGTGTCTGCCGCGACCGACAACCGTGCAGCAGACCGACGGCAGGAGGACCCTTTTTTTTCTTGCCGGGCAGAAGGTTGTTCGAGCAAGAGAGCAAGGGCTGAAGGAAACAGGCATGTGCAGGTATTCCAAGTGGGAAAACCGGGACATGCCCGGACTCCACGCGGTCGACTGCGTCGTCGCCCTAGGAGTTGGTGGGCTGCGCTCTCCGACGGTGCGAGGCGCAGAGAACACGCGCGCGAGCCGAGAGAGCAAGGCTGCGGGGGTAGAGCTTTGCTATCTTTAGGACCAGTGGCGGGTGCGTAGCAACCGCAACCGCGGAACACGGGGAGAAGCGAGCGCCGTGGGGGCAGAGTGTCTTGCTTGGAAAGGAAGACGGTTGGGGTGAGTCTAAAGGCGGCGCGAGCTCCACGGGGCGCAACGTACGGCGGCAGCGCGTCGCGCAACCGCGCTCGCAGAGCCGAAGATGTTTTTGAAATGAGATCTTACCCACCCGGTGAGTTGTCGTGCAGAAGTGAACGAACTAGTAATTTCTTAAGAGCATCCTGGTTTTGCAGGGATGGCAAACAAGCCAGCACGGTCTCACATCGTGATCTTGGGTCGCTTACCTGTGGTCGCATGGAGGCTGCCGCTGCTAGAGCCTTGCGACGATATGTGTGGGATCATGTCAGCATCTGCACCCAGTGTAGGTGGTTGATTGGTTGCATGAGGAACGGGATAGGGTGTACGCGTGGACGGAGCGTGTGCTGTCTTGCTTTCGATTTGTAACTATGAAGCATGTGTAGGTGACATTGTTGTAGCCATTTTAGCTATCCATACAAGCAAGGTTTCGAGAGGTTTGTAGCCATGTCAGCTGGTACCGTCCAGATCGATGACTATGCCTTGACAGGGGAGGCCAACGAGCTCAAATTGGTCTTGTACTTCAGTGATGGAACCAGCCAAACGTGACTTGACCAGATGTTTTATCTATTGTTCAATTCAAGATTCTGTAGACTTTGTTTTTTGATGCTTTAACCTACGAAGGTATCCAAGGCCACTACCAAATCCAGATGGTAGAATGAGGTCCAAGTGGGCTGTGGTACACAGTTTGTGTCGCACATCCATGACCCTGTACAGGGTGTGCCAGGTACCAGGCCAGGAGCCAGAGGTCATTGAGTCAACCCAACTTGCTAAGTGTATCCATGAAATTGGATACCAGGAGGCCATACCGTTGGTCCAGAAGTGGTTCAGCTAACTCTAGCCAGTTTCAAAAAAGATACAAGTGGTTGCCGCAGTCAGTCTTTGTTGGGGCCATCATGGCATTTCACCACTTTGACATTTCATCAGTGCCGTTGGAGACGCCCTTGAGCCGCAGAGCGTCGCTCAGCTGCTCTCTGCGGCTCGGGCAGAGTAGCTGCGCCTCTCTCCTCGGGATGCTGCGAAGAAAAGGACAGACACAGAGTGTTTGTAAGTAAGCAAGTTAGAGCGGGGCGAGTCGAACCGGGACCCAAAAGGACCCTAGTCAGAGCACACGGGATCGAGGACAGCTGCTTTCGTCCGCGACGCGTCCACCGTTCGTCGCGCGAGCGCGAGCAGGTGTCTGCCGCGACCGAGAACCACGCAGCAGACCGACGGCGGGAGGACCTTTTTTTTTCTTGCCGGGCAGAAGGTTGTTCGAGCAAGAGAGCAAGGGCTGAAGGAAACAGGCATGTGCAGGTATTCCAAGTGGGAAAACCGGGACATGCCCGGACTCCACGCGGTCGACTGCGTCGTCGCCCTAGGAGTTGGTGGGCTGCGCTCTCCGACGGTGCGAGGCGCAGAGAACACGCGCGCGAGCCGAGAGAGCAAGGCTGCAGGGGTAGAGTGGCCGTGCGATCTTTTCGACCGTTGACGGGTGCGTAGCAGCCGCAGCCGCGGAGCGCACGGAGAAGCGAGCGCCGCGGGGGCAGAGTGTCTTGGTGGTAGGTTTTTGTTTTCAGTTGGGCAGGGTGCGTGGCAGGCGTGACGGTGGAGGTCGAGACGTGTGAGCAGAGCGTCGCGCAACCACACCCAGGAAAGCAAGACAGTCAGGGCGAGTTGAAAGGCTGCACGAGCTCCACGGGGCGCAACACACGGCGGCAGCGCGTCGCGCAACCACGCCCGCAGAGAAAGAATTTTCCTTTGAATGGGGGTCTGGAAATGAATGGGGGTCTGGAGCATAGGACTTGAAAGCTGGTGTGATGCTGAGCGACCAACGTCAGCACAAGGCTTGAGAGCTGGTGTGACGCTGCGCGACAGCCAGGGTGGCATTTTGTTGTCACTACTGGTATGGTGCATCAAGCCATGGGCCACTGCAACAAGGGGTATGTGTGAGACAGTGGCTGGTTTTTGTCGCTGTGACCTGTGTCTGTGGGTGCGTGTGTGTTGGTGAAGAGTGTTGCAGCAGGCAACTGTTTGTCGCTGCGCTTTTAGGTATAGACCGACATATTTATAATTGATTGAGTTCAAACTTTCGACCCCCGACCTACACCATGTAGGGATGTACTGGTAGGGATGTACTGTGTAGTTTGTTGCACCCTAGCCTTTCAAAACTGGGTGTCTTCGTGCCCGTGCCATCCTCTTTCATCGTTCACATACAGGCTTCCAGGTCTGCGCCTGCCCTGGTCTTGTCCGATCGTTTTTTCAGCTGGAAAATGCGATTCATGTCTTGGAGGTTTGATGACAATTTTGTAAATTTGGCGAGAACTGGCTTCCACAATTCTTAAACATAGACCCTGAACCCAAGTGGTGATTTCATGCCTTTAGTCTCCATATGCTCAACTCGATTGTGTCACAGCACTGCTTTTAGCAAGTAACAAACGTTTCTAGGCCCACGTTCATGTTTTGTTCTGGGGCGGCGCGTTCTTTGCGATTCGAAAAGAGCTGCGCCACGTTGCGTTGTGGCTCCTTGTTTTCCGGACCACGGGGCGTCCAGAATACTGTTAGTTTCTGAAATTTTAAGAACTGTGATGGCGTAACTGCAACACTCATCCAGCCACGTGCACACATGAAACACAAAGTTCAAAACAAAAACGATCAGGTTCGTAGCTTAATTCCATTCAGCCCTGCTCCCATGCATGAAGATCACTGCTTGCCGCCTGTGAACGCCGTCAGTGACAGCAGCAGTTCCGGGGAAGATGGTGGGAAAGCCTTCCCCACTGGCAGGGGGAAGAAGAGGAAGGCGCTGGCTGGGGATATTGAGGCTGATGTGCGAAGTGCCTTGGGAAAGCCGTGTGGGTGTCAGAGGAATTGTTTTGAGCATTTTCGCGACAAAGATGGTTTTGCTGAGCTGCTGGGCCTGCGTGCGCAGTGGCGCAGCCTACACAAATTGGATCAGGATAGACTGGCCCCTGGGCCAGGCTTACATGATTACATATTTTTTAGGGGTGTCAGAAAGAGAGTCTTAACTAGCATTCACCTTGCCAGATTTGGAACCTTGCGCCTCAGGTTTTTGACAGGATTCGGGACTGTCACAACGACGGTGATTCCCATTGGTCCTTTCTTTCAAGGCAGGTTTGCGTCAAAGCGTGGAAGAGACTTCATGGGGTCGGCTTCTTGTTTGTAGAATTATGATGTTTTTGAGAGTGTCGTTGGTTTGGGTTATTGATTTCTGTCATCCAGAGCTGTGTGCAGACTTGCGGTGTGTTGTGATATGTGGGCTCCAATTCCGTGCCCATGCTTCCTCATGAGGTTCTCGGCGGTTTGATCGCCTCAAGAAGGCAGTGGTGAACGGCGAACCTGCCCCTCCGGTTGACCTCCGATATTTGGTTCGCCCCCATCAAGACTCTGGTGATAGTGAGATGCGGTCATCAGTTGCATCTTTCCTCAGTGAAATTTATTATTCTGTGGCTGAAACGTTGCCCGATTTCCGAGACGACCCCGAAGACGAATCGATTTCCGTGATTGTGCCAGTGGATGCGGAAGAGGGGAGTGAAGACTATGATCCTTATGGGGCATGCTTGCAAAACCACCAGACTGACACGTTGAAAGCACAACTTGCCAAGCCGAAGATCAAGAAACCTCGCAAAATGAAGGGTTCAGTGAAGATGACCCGCGACCGAACTGTGCAGGTTGATGCCACAACTGGCGAGTCAGGACGTGAACCGAGGTGGCTACCACCGGGACAGATCAAAGATTATTGGGAACAATACAGACAGAGGTACAGGGAGTCCACTTTCAAACCCGCTTCTTTCACTTTGTTCTGGCGGGCCACTTATCAGACAGAGGTGGTATCATTTTCCAAGTATGTTTGTGTCATTCAATGTTGTCACCAAGTAGTTAGTTGACTTCCCAGAGAGATAAGCCTAATCGTGCTTTACCAAAAAAATGGACGAAGAGTCAAGCTTTGATCAACCCAGGTATGGTTGTCCGACTACCCATTTCTAAAGTTCAGACAAGCCAGACAGCATCCAGAGTGTTCGATTTGCATAAAGCATAAAATGGCCATTCGCAGCTTGGGACACCATCTGAACGCGCGGTTGAAGCAACTAGAAGAGTATCACAACCATTTGCACAACCAATACTTGGATAGACTGGCGTATTGGAGCAGCCGTGGCGTGTCCAGATCACGAGGAAACGAACTTACCATCATATGCGATGGTATGGACCAGGGTAAATTCGCATATCCTAGGGCACCATGCATGAAGAGTAAAGACTTCGCTTCTTGGTCCAGACCCAGAGCTCACGTCATTGGAGTGCTGCTCCACGGTCGCGCCATCGTCTTCGCTGTGACGGAGCCAGACGTACCCAAAGACTCAACTACGCACGTTGAATTGCTTGCAATTTGCCTCACCAAGCTTGCGCATGATGGTGTGCAGCTCAAGGAATTGGCACTCACTTTACAATGCGATAACACCGTCAGGGAGTGCAAAAACAACACGATGACGCAGTTCTTGGCATCCCTCGTTTCCAAAGGAAGCTTTGCATTGACTTTAATCGTATTCGTTTTGACGTAACCTCGCTGCAAGTTGCGTGCAAAAACCGTGCTAACTTGGCCACCTGAGCGTTTAAACACTTGCAACTTAGGAGTTCTTCGAGAGGCCACACTCAGCTCGTTGAGAAGCGGACATTCTCATGAGGATGTGGACCAAGTATTCGGCCGGCTGTCAAGATTTATCACAAAGCACGGTAAGGTCGCTCAAACCCCACAGGACTTCGCCTGCTTGATTCAGCGGTTTTTGAAAGAAGCCGATTTTCCGTATGAACCAGCTGCGAAGGGGTATGTTTGCAAGATCGATCAAACACGAGACTGGTAGATCAGCTGCAAACAGGAAACTGTTTTGGAATGTTTTGGTTGCAATTTACTACTCTGTTGGTTGTTATCTTCTGGCAGTGCCGAGTGCATGGCCAAGGAGAAGTTTTTTGATGGGTGCGGTTCCTGTCCACCTTCGTGGAATAGGTGGACCTGGTGCCCCACACGTATTTCGATTTCAGCGGCGAGGTGAAGCAGGCGTGGACAGTTTTCTCTCAGCAGAGCCCACAGTGCTTTCACTTTTAGAATGCAACCAAGCACTAAAGGTCAGACAGCTTCTTGATCCAGGATTGGACAGATCGCAAATTGCCGACAAGTTCTTTAAATTGAAGTTGGGCGAAGAACACCCCAACGATGTGATTCTCCGGTTGCTTGTTTGCTTCAATGCTGCAACTTTAAACTCTTGAAACGCTGGTGATTCATTTGCCCTTCGCACGAATGTCTAGGGGCTTTGGAAACAAAACCCACAGGGCCAACTTCTTTTCCTCTCCTTTGAGGACAAAGCGTTGGATGTTGGACCAGGAGTATGGCACATGCATGTTGTTCTACCCACACAAGATTGCGCGGGAGTTGCTCCCGCAAGGCGTGCCTGCAGGCAAGAGTTTGCGCCACAGGTGTTTGCGCACTGGTTCATGTCCTTGAATGTTTTAGAAACGAAGTTCTGTTAGTAACCTTTGTCCCTGCAGTTGTTAGCCAGAAGAAGGATATTGGAAAGAAAGTGCGGGATGACATTACCAAGCACTGTGCTTTGTTGCGCAACCCCCTATATGGTATGGATGTAGCAGCGGATCATCTTGAGAACTGGATCGAGGGCCGTTTGATTCCTGAACCGTTGCTGGATGTGACTGCGTGGAGTGGTTTTCAATCAACACGTTTTGTGTGGCCAACGTGTGAATAAGAGGCATACATACAACCTAAAAATCTTTGGTGATAATGCCTACATTGCTTCAACCCTACAGAGAGCGGCGTTCGCAGCCCAGGTGTGTGGGAGTTTCCGCCCGCCCAGTGTCTGACAGGGCTCCGCTTGCAGAAGATTTCGAAAGCGCAGAGAATCTATTGGCGCCCTCCAGCGTCAATTTTTTTGTAGTTTTCAAGAGTCTACTCAGTGACAGTGACAATGTGAAACATCATAGTATACTGTACAGTAATCCTTTGGGCTTTAAGTTTTGGGTGGGGCTGATGGTGGTGTGACAAGTTCAGGGCGGGCACTGTGATGTCGAAGTGCACCTTTTGGATTTTGTTAGCTCAAACATCAGAGGTTGCAAAATCCACCGGGACGCGCCTATGCAATTGCAAACTACAAGCGGAAGGCTGAGAGTAAACTCTTGCTAGACACAGCTGCCAGATTCTGGGCCCGTGGTGTTCCGTGGGATGAAGCCCTGAACACTGCCCGGACTGTACGTCAAAGAGTGCAGCAAAGACTCAGAACTGGCATGGCTGTCAGGTGCGACCTCAGTAAGGGTGAAAGCCTTCTTGCTTTGTTTGTGGTGTATTTTGTGTAAGACGTCGGGCGTGTTGCAGGTGAGAGGTGCCTTCCTTACTCTTGCTTCGAAGGCTGGATTTTGTCACTATTCACTTTGTTTGGCTTGATTAGACGGGCGCACTGGGCCGAGATTAATTGGATTCGGGTTTGATGTAACATTCTTGTTGAGATTTTGGTTCAAGATTTTAGTTCAAGATGGTGTCCCAATTGTTTCAACGGGAGCTACGTCAAATTACCAATGACACTGCCCGTGGAATGTTTGCTGGCTACGTCCACGCTGCGAGTGAAGATTGCGCCGCTTGCATTCACGAACTTGTTGAAGTCACTGGTAGATTGAAGCCAGGGGGATCGCTGGAGCTGTTGCTCAGTGAGCTCCGGAAGATCTCGCAGGTGGCCATTCGTTTGGCGTGGATGGGCAAGGATACGGATACAGATGTGGCTTGTGACGCGGACTCCTGGGTTCGACTTGATCTCAGGGTTGAGGACGTGGAAGCAGAGTTGCTCGACCATTGGAAAGCTGACCTCCAAGTGTGGCCACGAATGGATTGCTACGCCAGTCTGCTGGGGTGTTCTCGAAACTTGATGGTGCTTGGCGAGAAGTTAGTGTGGACTGAGGGCAGCAGGATGGCGGCTGCCTGCATGAGAGTTGTTGGTGCACCACTTTGAGATATCATAATACTTGGCTCATTGCAAAGAGAAGAGAGCTCGTTGAGGGAATGTCTCTGAAGCTTGTCATGTGTTTTTTTGTCTTGTAGGACTGATTCTATTGCTATGTTCGCCAGGGTGTGTGAGCTTGTTGGCCAGCCCGTCACTCAGCCATTCAAGTTTCTTTTTGTATGAACTTGTCACGCGACAAGCGAGTAAGTCTGAAAAACACTCGTGCCTTGAGCCCTTTTGTTGCGACAGTGCACGGTATGGGCTGGCTGTGGCAAATTGTTGGGCGATCGTTTTCCCGACTCGCAATGGCTTGCCTTCCACCAGTCACTACCTTGTGGGAGGCTGAGTGTCAATCCTTGATATACACATCATGTGTGGTTTGATTGAAATCTCTTAGGTCGGAAGACGAGCAAGGCTGCGAGCCACCGCCGAAGCCAGATCTAGGTGAGGCGGCGCAAGCGCAGTGTGTTGCCCGGCTGGTGAGGATCAAGAGAAATAGAAAGAAGGCGCCTATGAAGGCGAAGCGTGGAGCCAAGGTGCGCTTTTGATTGCCTTTGATTTCTTGGAGATGGAGCGAATGTTCTGTACCAAGCGCTTGTTTATCATTGAGATTCTTTTTGTGTGCCCGAATCATAGTTGAACCTTTTGCAGCAGGGTCGCGCCAGATTATGATTGAAAGGTACGCCAGCGTCCTACCAGGTTTGTGCGCAACGCAAAGGGCAAGAATGTGGTGAAGGCGTTTGTGGGTGACTGCTGGGTTTTGTTGTTTCAGATTATTGTGGCATTGGATCAATCCAACTGCTTTTGATGCTCTCCTTGGCCAGTTGCCTCGTCATGGTGGCATCGATTTCCGCAGCTTCCTGAAGCCTATTCGTTCTGTTAGCTTGCCCACAGCACCAAAGTTGAATCTGAAGATTGCGCGCGGCTAAGTCATGACTTCAGGTCTATACCTTCCGTTCAATGGTCCAGTCCTTTGCAGGTATGCCGGGGCCCTCCTGGCAAGAAGGCAAATGGGGCAGTCCGCTTCACAGGTACAAAGACATTCCAACGCTGGTCCACTATCAGTTCGCTTCCCAGCCTGCCAGCCCTTTTAAACTTTTGGAGTTTCGCAAGTGGCTTGCCAAGGATGTTTCAGCGCATCCACCACGGTGACAAAGGGTGATGTCAGTCAACGGGGCAGTTCGGTTAGAATCTCAATTTCAAACCAAATTTCATCAAATTTCAAGAATTGTGTTTTCTAGCCCTCAAGGATCTGGCAAATCAAATCGCTCTGTCAGAGCTTTATAAGCAATCACTACGGGAAGCTGGGGGGAGACCTGGCAGATTTCTCTCAGTGCCGTGCGCTGAGTGGTTCCAAGGCAGGGTGAGCGTCGAATCATGTTCATTTCGTTTTATCATGTGCGTTTTGTGGTTTGGGGCTGTGACAGGCTTGCCGACTGGGTGGTCATCTTCCTTGGTGGGAGCTGTTGACCCCAACGTGCTGGGCCACCTGTTGAACTACGAGGGGTTGCCGGAGAGATTGTCGCTGTTCAAAGTTCCATCAGAAACGTAGGAGGCTTATTGAATGGAAAACTTTTTGCTTGTGGTGTGCAGGAAACCCAGAAGCTGCGGTGCTTATCCCTTTTTAGTGGGATAGGCGGCTTAGAGCTTGGAGTCCGTCCGCCAGAGTCTCAAGCCCTTCTGTTTTTTGCAATGTTTATGTCCAGTGGGCTTGTCAAGCGCATCAATTTGCGTTTTTCTTTGCCGCGTGAGCCTGAGCTCAATAGTCAAGTATGAGAGCAAGCAGTGCCAGTCATTGCAATGTTATATAACCACTCTATATAGATATATACTCACACTTGAAAATGAAACATTGCACATTCGTTGGCGGTGGCCAGTGTTTCGTGTGGCGCCGGCTTGTGTTTGGTGATGCCATGAGCGACTACCAAACAGTGCGCACTGTTGGCATCAATCAGATCCGGTGGCTGGGCTTTGCTTATTGACTGCTTCCTTTGCAAGAAACAGCTTGGATTTGTTTCAATACTGGATCCTGTTTGATCGTTTTTGATGATTGGTTTGGGGCTCAGGGTGCCCCACGGAGTCGTGGTTCAATGTCGTTGGCATGGTATGGAGCCCCTTGGCGCTTGCGTAATCATATGTGCAGTGACGCTTCACGTTGTGCGGTGTATGGCCCAAGTCTTTCCCGGTCTGATCCAGTCCAGTGTCCACATGCTGAGGTGGCTGTGGCAAGGGAACCAGTGGGTCCAGAACCAGAATGTTACTACAGGCAGCCGACACGACCGAAGCCTGACAGTGAACCATGCAAATGTGCAGGCAAGGGACGTTCCAGAGCCTTGCATGACACTGTCAGTTTTCTTTTCTCGTGAACGGTTGAAACTGAAATCACGCACGATGCTGTCGACGTTGCCCAACCAAAGATGCAACATTAGTGCTCGCTGTGGACTGTTTGCTTGAACTTGGCAAGGAAAATGTGGGCGGTGTTCAAGCAGAGCTACCTCCTGCCAAACGCAGGAAATGAAAACATGTCGTGCTCAAGTGCGTATTATGTCCTTTCTCATTCTTGCTGGCTTCAACCTCTTTGGACACAATCGGTTTGGTTCAGTCTGGTAGATAGATGCCGAGGTGGTTTCGACCAGTGGGCTTTGCAGCGCACTCGATGTGGCGTACAGTGTGAATGTTTTGTGCGCCAGCTTTGGCCTTAGGTGGAATCAGATCCATATTGTCGCAAAGTCCTGGAGGCTCGTATGGAAGAAGGTTCTTTGCCACGATGCCCCATCCACACTAATGTGATTGGGTACCAGCCGGCTGGCGACGAGTTGAGTGCGTCCTGGGTCCTTGCTGGGTTTCCATGCCAGGCAGCAAAC